CTCCCCACCCCCTGAAAAAGGAGGAGATCTGGGTACTTGAAACAACTGATACTTTAATATAAGTGAAGGGTAGCAATGACAGTTCAGTACAAGTTTGTAGTGCAAACAAAAGTTGTCCTTGGAAGAAGAGTAAGTTTTGTAAACTTAGTTTCAGTTGTCATACCAACGGTTTATTGTTCAAAGGAAAAAAAAAAAACCAACAAAACCCAGTTAACATAACTAGTGTGCCTTAGAGTTTATCAAACTGCATAAAACATACAAAAATATTTCTCTGAATGCATAGACTTACTGTTATTATTACAGTTAGATCATGATTAAAGTTTTAGTTTTATGACGTCAACAGTTATTCTTTGTGGAAACTAGCACAAGTAAAGCTTTTTTTAAACCAGTTGTTCCTGTAGCTGAATGTTAGTGGAGGCAGTCTCTACATTGATTTCCTAAACAAAGGAACTGAAAAGAAATTAGATACTCTTAATTTTGAGCCATTTAACTACTCCTGGTTTTCAAACAGTTATTGCACATAAGATAAATGCACAATTGTTAAAATAAAACCTCCTGTCATGTCCTACAAGAAAAAGCAGGACCCAGTCAGGAAATTTTACTTCATACTGCGTCACAGTCTTGAGCTTACCAGGAGTTGAATCAGGCTTTAAAGTAGCCCAGCTCCTGGAGAGAGAAGGGCCAGGATTGAGTACAAGGAGTTAGCAGAGTTTAAGTGCTGAGATGGATACAGAGCAAGTGGGAAAGAATGATAATGACTTTGAATGCACTAAGCAAGAATTTTAAGCCCAGAGTAAGTAGCTGAAATCCTGAACCCAGAGTCAAGTGGCTCTTCTGCTGGCAGAAGGGTTTCTGTGTTTTTCTGACATGCATGCTTTTACTGACCTCGTGGGGAGAAGCTGCTTCAAGGATAAAGCAGCTGTGCTGCAGGAAGCTAAGACAGGGTGGCAGCCATGTTGCTGCTACAGAACATGTTGATTGTACTATTCATGGTCTGAATGTCAACATTGCAATCCAGATCAACAACAACAAACACTGCATCAGCTGTGCATAAACTCTGCTCTAGTGCAGCTTAATAAAGCAGAGACAGAAGGAAAATCCATACTATTGGCAGGGGAAAAAAGCAGCAGCTCATGTCCAGAAAAAAAACCTCCCTTGCCCCCTCCACCCACCCCATTACCCAAATAAGGTTTTTGGTGCAGAAGTCATCATCGTAGGTTTTTGGTACAAAAGAAAACAAAAAGCCTCCTATGGTGTGACTTTGCAGCCTACCCCATTAAGAGGAAAAGCTTCAGGCTGTTAATATTCCAGCAATGCTGCAACTTAAATACTTTCCTCGAACTGAAAGGAAGTAACTTCAAGGTGTATTTTAATGATGACTTTTGCCATTCATAAAATCCCAGATGGATGTTTTAATTACTGACTTGCTTAAATGCAAATTAAGGGGGGGGGGGGGGCAAAAAAAAAAGTCAAAAGCACCTGGAGGCATTCAGCTCTTTCTGTACTCTGGCTAAAACTTTTCATGCTATGTAAAAGTGATAGTAAACTGTGTGATGTAAAGTTACAGGTTAGTTATTTGCTTATGGTGTATGTTTCCAGTTTAGTATGGTATGCTCCTTACAGTTGCGACACCTCAAGAGTATACTGTTGTGCTTCTCCTGCTCCTTGCAAAGCGGAAACTAACCGCATGCCTGTAACTGGTCTGTGAGGGTGGGCCATAACCAAGTGACCTGATGTGCCAGTACTGACTTCTTGTGTGAGCAACACACTGCCTCCTCCCATCATTGGGAAAAATAAATCAATAAAACCATGGACACAAACTTGTGATCCCCTCCTGAGCTCCTGAAACATACAGGCTTTCTTTTGAAAGGACACTTTAACTTGCTTTGTGACTTAAATGCTCCTTAATTAAGAGAGGCTTCCATTTTTTTTTTGGTGGAGGTGGAGGGATGCCATCACTTCAGTTACAATATTCTCATATGGGAAAGAAACAAACATTTAAATGTGGACATTCTTTCTCCACTTATTTTCAGCTCAGTGAAAATTTTTCTCCTGTCAGTTCAGAGCATTAAATATTTCTATGCCAGCAGGCAAGACAACGCATCGTAGTAAGGAGGGGCAAGAGATTAAGGACTTGCAAATTTTACATTTTTAGAGAGCAGCTGTTTGTTGTATGGCAAATACCCTCTAACATTTAATTTAATCAGGAAGTTTAAAATATATATATACACACACACACATATGCATACACATACACGCACACACACAATTTCCTGAATCTCTTTTCAGTGACTCTTATTTGGTCAAAGTGGGAGTACTCAAAATATTTTTCATATCAATACTTAAGTTTTTCCTGCCCTCTGTTGCCAAATACAACCAATAAACTTCATTGAAATACACTGGAAGCATGTGATTTTAGTAAACAAATGAGGTATCCCTTATCTGAATACAGTATCAAGTAAAAAAATAAAAGCAAAGGGGATATTAAATATAAAAGATAAACTATTAGTTAAAATAGTAACCCTAACAATAACTTAAGGTTTTACACACACTTAATTCACTGCCCTCAAAAGGCAGCAGCACGTAATTATCAGGTTTTCACTCTAGAGGCATCTAGAAGAATCAGTACGTCAGCTTTGATGCTCTACTATTGTAGCATGGTCTCTCAGTCAAAGTTGATGCAGCATTTCTGAAAGGAGAGCTGTCGCTTTTCACAAGAACTAACTCCAGCTCTTGGAAGTCCTGAAGTCTGGCAACGTCCTTGTCCTGTTACAGAACAGACAGTACTACACATTACTTCTAAACATATCTGGTCTGACTTTGTATAAAGGAAGTAAAAACTAGAATTCTGGGGAGGTCACACCCAATGACAGGAATAAATAATGAAAGAAAAAAATTCTACCAGTATCCACTCCTCCTTTCAAAGCACGTTAGAGTTTTTTTTCCTCCTGGAAGCTCATTATGACTTGACTGTGTTTGTGCATGTCACTTAACTAAGAGTTGCGACAGTCTTAGAAATTAATTTCATTTACAGACCTTCAGAACAGGTATTTTTGGAACAGACGAGCATGTTCATTTGTTAATAGCATATCTTTAAATTATTCATGTGCCAGTTTGTAGGTTTTTTTCCCCGTACTTTTTAGGCAAGCAAACAGTGAAGTAGTACACGGCAATTATGGTAAAAAGCACACTAATGCACTGTTGCTGATACATTTTTTAAAAAACTCAAGCTGTAATACTTTCATGTGCTTTTGGAGCTGAAATACTCTGCTATTTTGACAAGAATATTTTTAAGTAAGTTATGATGAAGTTTTAAGCTAAGTCCAGTATCCTTTCGAGTCTGTGAGCTTAAGTCAGTTTTGCTGATGGTTTTACAGAAATACCTTCTCTGTTGTCTGCAAAGTCAAATTAAACTCTGATTTTAATTCTTACCTTTCTTACTAGTGTATTAGGTAATTTTCTGATCTTCTCTACTTGTTCTGGATTAACACCCAATTCACAGCAACTCACTCTGAGCAGGTCTTGATAGGTCAGTTCTTGTCTGTCCAGTTCAATTTCAATGAAGTCGTTGTCTCTCAGGTTCTGGACTCTCACCTTAAGCACAAGTTCTGATTGAAAAAAAAAAAAAAAGATTAAACCAGGTTTTTTTCTCAAAAAAAAAAAAATCCAGCCCAAACCTAACACTAAAGTATTTACCGTTATCTTTCGAATTCATGTTTTATAACACAATGCCTGTTAGCTCACTGAGAAATACTGTGCAGTTAATGGATGCTTCCATTTCAACAGCAAGAAATACATGGGGGAAGCATGGTTACCATGTTAAAAAATCTGATCCATCCAGTCACAAAGTCAAGTCATTACCAAAATACGAGAGATGCATTTGATGCTATATAGTATATTGCAAAATGTGAATTCCTATGTTGCTTGGACTAATCTTTTCATTGGTTTGCAAAGTATTACCAAGTTTGAAATACAGTATAACAGTTACTTTACTTAGCAGAGCAGACAAAAAGGTTCTGGGTACTTTTGGCCAACAAATTCAACATCTCTGCCTTTATTCCACATGAGTCTGAAAGCGGAATGATTCTTTAACTTCATCTTTCACCCAGAAACAGAGACATGGCACAGAACATAATAGAAGGATGGGAAACAACACTTAATTACCTTGCATGTTATATGGGAAAGTCCCAGTAAAGAAAAAGGGCTGAAAAGTTGGTGCGGGACCAGTAGGTGAGCTGTCAGTTTGCAGAGGTGCAGCCTGTTTGGGTGCTACCGGGGAGAAGGGAGCTCTGCCGTGGGGCAGGGACGGCTGGCGAGCGGGGCCGTTCTGTGCTGCAGGCCCAACGCATTTCGGTGCTGCGGTAGTTGCCGATGGGGTGGGCAGCTGTTCCACAGTGTCTAGCGCAGGAAAATCGGCTTCGCTGTTGCATGACGTGGGCGTGCACACGCTTTCAACCTGAGGTGCTGATGAACAAGGACTAGTTTCACACTGGGAAGCGGAAGAGATGGAAGCGCTTTCGTTCTGGGATTCTGCCAAGCTGTCTGGAATGCTTTCTTCAGCGTAAATGTAAGGGAATGGTGGGTTGGCCAAGTAGTTTGCAACAATTGGCAGATTTAAATCCTTCACTCCTTGACGTTCAGTTTCCTCCTCTATTACTGAAGTTCAACAATGGGGGGAAGGGGATGGAGAAAGAAAAAAAAAAAACCACCATGTTATTGGATGGATCTTTCTCATTTTTAATATAGTTAGTTTTCCTGTTGCATCTTAGAACTACATCACATTCTGAGGTAATCAAAGGATAAGCATGTAACACCTGGCAGGCACACAGCTGTAAAATGAAAGAAAAAACCCCTACAAATTTCTAGTGTATTGTGTTTTTTTAAATGCAAAGTGGGAAAAGACCATGGAAAGAGATGTCATTTCTAGCTGTGATACTCCAGCATTTTCAATGGAACTGACTAACCAGTAGCGATTCACTAAATCTCATTTTGCAATGCTTTTAGTATCACTGCTGTAAATAGTTTGTTGTGAGCCATGCCAACAAATTAAAACAAGTATTTCTTCAGGTAAACGACTATTTGATGTAATACCCAAGCCAACTCTTCTCTCGCTTAGAAGTAACTGCAGTCAATGACATTCTTGCCTGACTCAGGATTACAGGACACTAATAAGACCTGCTTAATAGCACTGTGCTCCCAGAGTAAAAACCATGTAGGAGAATATAAAAGTAAGTGCTAGGTGTTTATTCCCCAGGAAACACGTGAAAGCTTAACAGACAGAAAAAGAAGAGTTCATTCACACACACTCAACAATTTAGATGTTAAAACCAGAACGCAAGTCATTTGCCATCAACCAAGTCCACGGGATGAGCACCTTGCCCAAAAGAAAACAAAAACGCTCATGCAAAGAACATGCCATTCCTTCATTTGTGACTGTTGTAACCTTAGTCATGATTTAGCTGCAATTTCATTTAAGAGAACCGTGCACTGTTGATGTAAAAGCGTATCATTGCAGAGCGCAATTTACATGCAATTAGCAGAAGATAGAACACTCAACATTTCCAAAAGTGAAGCACTTTTTAAAATTTTAATCTGGAGCACAGTATCTATGCTGCTCATGAAAAATAGGCACTGGCAGTGTTCAAGGAGCGTCACATCTAACGAAAAGTGTAGGGTGACAGAATTATGAGGCAAAAATTAATCATACTGCAAGTCAGAGTATAACCAATGCTCAGAAGTCATAACTTCTGAAATGCTGCAGTTGTTTTGAGTGGATTTATAAGATTTCTTATGGTCAGACAACAGTCAAATTGTGCAATTGTGAAACCCTCCGTTTGCAGCTGCATGCTAGCTTCTGCTGAGTGAGAGCAAATGGGACTGCAGCAGCACACTTCCCAAAGTGTACAGCTCTTCAATGTCTTGATGACACAGCTCAGAATAAAAGGCTTGCCTACCTGAAATCCCCAAGTCTATTTGCCTGAGCATGAACTACAGTTACAAATCGAAGCTATCTAATGAGATACAATAGTCCTAGCCAAAGTTTTGCCAACCTACTGCCCCAGATAAAAGCACAAAAAATACTTTAGTCTTTAGACCAAGAACTCTAGATGATTTTTAAGATGGGAACAGTACCTCCCAAAATCTTCCAGATGTCTGGTTTCGAAGTTAACTGTGCTGCCAGCTCTCCTTGAGCAGTGAGGATCTGCTTATCTGCACCAGCATCCAGCAGGCAGGACACCACGGGAGCATGGTTCCGCTTGCAGGCCCAGTGCAAACAGGTCCTGCGGAGAAGGAAGCAGAGGGGTTGTGCCATCAGCCTCAGCTCTCTCACCCCAGCTCCTCCTCATGCGCCCATCCTAATTCACCTGAGTTGCACGTAGTGACAATAACTGGGAATAAAGTTTCCTTCATTGCATCACTTCTATAAAGTTAGGAATCTGTTGTAAGTTCTGCAGGGCAATGCCCTCCTTCACCCTGCTACAGTGTGAAGAGTGACTGCCCACTGCTGTGGACGTGCACTGAGCAACTTGAGGAGAGGGCCTCGAGCAGACATGCAGTGGCAGGTGGAAGGACGGTGGCCTCCTTTTGTTGTGATCCTCTTTAGCAATAAATCTCAAAGCCTCCTGAGATTAGCATTTCCTTTTTTGTAAAGAAGAAAACTAAGAAACAAAAGCTGCGTCCCAAAGCAGCTCTCCCCTACG